TCGTCTCTTCTCCTTTTCCTGAGAAGAGAATAATTAATAACTCCTATTGCTTTTATTGACCTTTCATCCGCAGGAGAGTTTCTGCAATGTTTGCAAATTTGCTGCCACCCTCTCAATGCAGCTGGTATGTAGGCTGAGACCCTACTTGCCCGCAGACTGCCTCACCAGAGTGGTGCATGCTCTAGTTATCTCCTGCTTCGACTACTGCAACGTGCTCTACGTGGGGCTACCTTTGAAGGTGACCTGGAAACTACAGCTAATCCAGAATGTGGCAGCTAGACTGGTGACTGGAAGCGGCCGCCGAGACCACATAACACCAGTCTTGAAAGATCTACTGTACATTGGCTCCCAGTACATTTCCGAGCACAATTTAAGTTGTTGGTGCTGACCTTTAAAGCCCTAAATGGCCTTGGTCCTATATACCTGAAGGGGTGTCTCCACCCCCATCCTTCTGCCCGGACACTGAGGTCCAGCTCCAAGGGCCTTTTGGAGGTTCCCTCACTGTGAGAAGTGAAGATACAGGGAACCAGGCAGAGGGCCTTCTCCGTAGTGGTGCCCACCCTGTGGAACGCCCTCCCATCAGGTGTCACAGAAATAAACAACTATATGACTTTTATAAGACATCTGAAGGCAGCCCTGTTTAGGGAAGTTTTTAATGATTGATGTATTTTTAATCTTTGTTGGAAGCTGCCCAGAGTGGCTGGGGAAACACAGCCAGGTGGGCGGGGTATAAATAAATTGTTGTTGTTGTTGTTATACATCCCTTCACGGGCATTGGGCTTTACAAGAATGTACAAATGATCTGAGTCCCATGAACTTGCTGCAGAAGATGGATAGAGCCGGATGTTTCAGAAACAGCAGCAGGTAGGGAACAGGGCAATTACAATGTGGTCCATCCCTTGTTATTCATTCTCATCTTCCCACAATCTGCACTTTGGAGAACACCTTGAGGAATGAGGTCGCATGCCAGAACTATCTTGATGAATAATGACTGATGGGCTTCTGTTTCTCAAGGACATGTTTTGTCACGAATTGTACTTAGTTTCCTGTGATGGAGCCTAAGAGGGAGAATTGTTGGTGCATGTCACTTAGCAACAGTTCCAAAAGCTGGTTGCAAGAAGCCACAACAGTAAAACAGGCACATAGCACTGTTTCAGTAGTAGAAATCAACAATCTATGCTGACATTCTGTGTGTTCACTGACACCTGGAAGGACAGATCATCTTTGAGACTGAAGGAATATAATTATTGTTTATATACCGCTGTAATGAAGCCAGAGGGACACGGGTGGCGCTGTAGGGACACGGGTGGCGCTGTGGGTTAAAGCCTCAGCGCCTAGGACTTGCCGATCGAAAGGTCGGCGGTTCGAATCCCCGCGGCGGGGTGCGCTCCCGTCGTTCGGTCCCAGCGCCTGCCAACCTAGCAGTTCGAAAGCACCTTCGGGTGCAAGTAGATAAATAGGGACCGCTTACCAGCGGGAAGGTAAACGGCGTTCCGTGTGCTGCGCTGGCTCGCCAGATGCAGCTTGTCACGCTGGCCACGTGACCCGGAAGTGTCTGCGGACAGCGCTGGCTCCCGGCCTATAGAGTGAGATGAGCGCACAACCCTAGAGTCTGGCAAGACTGGCCTGTACGGGCAGGGGTACCTTTACCTTTAATGAAGCCAGGCCATTAGGACTGACGTGCCCCTGACCTCATGGCCTGATCTTGTGCTTGTCTACTTACAAGTAAGTCTGCCATCTCCAACAGTGGCAGCTTTTGTTTCCTTACATCAACACGATATAGGGATGAAGTGAGGTTACAGGGAACCAGGCAGAGGGCCTTCTCGGTAGTGGCACCTGCCCTGTGGAACGCCCTCCCATCAGATGTCAAGGAAATAAACAACTATCTGACTTTTAGAAGACATCTGAAGGCAGCCCTGTTTAGGGAGGTTTGTAATGTTTGATGTTTTATTGTGCTTTTAATTCTGTTGGCTGGGGAGTGGCTGGGGAAACCCAGTCAGATGGGCAGGGTACGTACGTAGTATGTATGTATGTATGTATGAATGAATGAATGAATAAATAAATAAAGTTTACTGCTTGCCCCATCTTGAGGACTCTGGCAAGACAGCAAGTAAAAGACCACAAAATTCCATGGAAACAGAATAAAATTTAGTCAGAATAAATGCTATGTCCCCCCCCCCCCGCAAGCTCTCTACATATTAATTTGTATTTACAGCATTTTCATGCTACCCTGGATTGTGGTATCTCAGTGTCCTTTAAGACCAGATTCCTGAGTCCAATTCTACCAGTACCAAGACTTGCAGGCCAAGAGAGTGGAGAGAGAGACTGAGAATTGAATTAGTAAATCTGATTTGACATTCTATTTTTCTCACTGAGAAATACTATATTTTGCATAAAAGATTTCTGGCCCAGATGCAGAACAGCCTTCTGTTGTAAACTTACCCAGCAAAAACGTCCAAGAAACATGTAGTAGGCAGGTTTGCCAGGCAATCACAGCAAACACTGTTCATGTAGGATAATATCCTGCCTGCTGGAGTACATGGTGGGACTCATATAAGATTATACAAGAAAAAGGAGCCGCTTTGATAATATACACCAGAATAATTATTCCTTTGATTTTAGGAGGGTGCAGCTGTATGTGGTCAATGAATCACAACCCTCATGAACTCCTTACTACATAATTACTAGCTTTTGTTCTTTAACTTAAACAAAGAAATTGACATCTGTTAATGAGTTGGGTGAACATCCGCCTCCCGTTTGTACTTCGTACTTCCTGGGGGGAAAGAATAGACAATCCTAGAAACTGGGCTTTTAGTGTTGTAGCTCCAGCCTTCTGGACTGAGTGAAATTAGACTAATGCCTAGTGTCTTGGTATTTAGGTGGCCACTGAAGATGTTTTTGTTGGTTTCCCCTGATCCATCCGTCTTATGGAATTTTAATTGTAGAAACAGTTTTATCGCTTAACAGTAGAAATGGTTTTGTTGTGTTTAGAGCTTAATCTTTATGTCATCTTATTTTATTCTATGTCACTTTGATAGCTGCAGGCAGTGTCGTGGTTTATAAATCTGCAAAATAAATGAATAAGCAGCTAAAGGAACTATGTCATTGATGAAATAACTCAGCAGATGCCAGGCTGATCTCTTTTATGCTGGTGGCCGCCGTCACGATGGTGCAGCTGCCAACTCCGACGGACACAGCATCTCTGCAAACAGACAGCATCCCTGCTCACCTTATTGTCACCAGTCACAACACTGTGCATTGATGTGCCCACATCGCCCATGTACAGAGGCACAAAATCAATGCCGTGGCCAAGCAACACCACGTCGTCCCCCAGCCCAGCCCACACTGTCTCCATGCAGGACGAAGCAGCCTGAGTCCCCTGGGACCCCAGGACCGTTCTGTATTGGGCTCTTCACCTTCCCTCCTCGCAATGCTACACTTGGCCTTCACACAAACAGCTGCTGGGAGCTTTTGTCTTAGTGGATTCTTAATCATGACCCAGATTCCCTCCTAAGTCCAGGTCCTCCCCTCCACCTTAGGCCAGAGCCAGCTGAGCTGGGCTCATTAAGGCCAGCCTTTTCTAGAGGGTGTGTGTGTGTGTGTGTGTGTGTGTGTGTGTAGACCTTTGGCCACTAGGAGGTTGTGGTTGCCTGGCATTTCTTCACTGTAACCAAAGACTGTTAGGACCACCACGGTGGGCAGACCTCACTTCCATAGGGGCCCACCTATGGCTCCACCTTTAGATCTGGGCACTGCTCTCAAGGCCACCAAGATGGAGAGAATGGGCATAAAATGACAACCTCCCTCCCATCTCATAATACAAGTCAGGAGCGCCCAAGGAAGCAGACTGCAGCAGCAGCTGGCTTCAGGATGGACTAGAAGGACTATTTAAGAACGTAAGTGGAGCCTTCTGGGTCAAGCCAAGGGGACACCCAGATGCCACAACAGGAAACCCGCAAGCAGAACTCCAGCATCTAAGAGCGCTCCCTCCTCCTGCAGTTTCCAGAAACGGGGATTCAGAAGCACTAGGCCGAGCCCAGCCATGGCTAGCAGCCACCAGGAGCCCTTTTCTCCACACAGTGCTGCTTCACTTATTGGCTTTCGATACTGTGAGAGGGGTGGCAGACCACAGCTTTTGCAAAGGTGGTGTGTGTGTGTTTTAAGGGCTAGATAAGTCTATGCAGGAGGTGAGGAACGTAGGAACCTGCATTGTACTGAGTCAGATATTTGGGGCCCCTACCTCAGTATTTGAGGGCACAAGAAGAAGGGGACGAGAGAGGAAGGGGACGACAGAGGACGAGATGGTTGGATAGTGTTCTCGAAGCTACAAACACGAGTCTGACCAAACTGCGGGAGGCAGTGGAAGACAGGAGTGCCTGGCGTGCTCTGGTCCATGGGGTCACGAAGAGTCGGACACGACTAAACGACTAAACAACAACAACAACACCTCAGTATTGGGGGACGTGGGTGGCGCTGTGGGTTTAAACCACAGAGCCTAGGACTTGCAGATCAGAAGGTTGGCAGTTTGAATCCCCGCGACGATGGGGTGAGCTCCCGTTGCTCGGTCCCAGCTCCTGCCAACCTAGCAGTTCAAAAACACGTCAAAGTGCAAGTAGATAAATAGGTACCGCTCCGGCGGGAAGGTAAATGGCGTTTCCATGCCGCTGCTCTGGTTCGCCAGAAGCGGCTTATTCATGCTGGCCACATGACCCGGAAGCTGTACACCGGCTCCCTCGGCCAATAAAGCGAGATGAGTGCCACAACCCCAGAGTCGTCCTCTACTGGACCTAACGGTCAGGGGTCCCTTTACCTTTACCTTTTTACCTCAGTATTGCCCCCACTGACTGGCAGAGGCTTTCTGGCAGTGGCTCAACATGCGAGGCAGGTCGGCCACATATCACAGCACCAGACAAGGGCCACTTTGTGCATTAAAATCTGTGCAGAGACGGCCCTTATTTAAAGTATCCCGTTCAACCCATTAAAAACAGACAACAGCAAAGTATTATGAAAAAGTGTACTTCACTCATTTAAATAACTATAATTCAGCGTATTAAGGAAGAAATAACTGGCAATCAAATATAAACACTTTACGTAAATCAAATTAATTTAACCACACAATAAATTAATACATTAAATATTAACTTTCAGTGCAACATATACAGAAGAAACAAGTGTACCGCTGACTAAAAATAATCTTCAGGTTGGTTATAACAGTAAACGTACTTACAAAAAAAGAGGGGGGGGTTGTTAACAATATAACCAGAAGTCAACACACAATCAGGAAGGGGGTGTCTAGTTCATTTATCAAACATGTGTCTAACGTGAAAAATTGGCACAGTTCGTCCATTTTTATTTTTTAAGAAACATACATACTGATCCTGCTTCCGGTCAAGTATCCAAATTGAAACAGAAGCTCAGGTGGGATCAGATCACACAGCTCAGGGTTAAAAGGCCATCTCTAATTTCTCAAAAGCATTGCAGGGTACAATTGCAGAGAAACGTACAAGCCAGCTCGTTTATTCAGACTGCAAGTCACTTTTCTGCCTATTCCTTCTTCCAGTGAAAAAACGGAGCACAGGGTCACATTCTGCAAAAGGTATTTAAAAAAACACTGCTTTCACAGGGCTGGCAAGCCACGCTGCAGCACAAATAAGAGCAAAGTCCTGGGACTGGGACTCCGAGGTTTTTTTAGGCCCAAAATGGGACTTGGGGTAAAGGTATCCCTTGAAGAAGGTCTGAGATACCTCGAGTCCTTACGGCAGCCATTTGCAAGCTGGTGCCCTCCAGATGGTTGGGTCTGCACCTCCCCTAGGTGTATTGTGCTGGGAAGGAGGGGAGATGTGATCCAAAACATCTGGAGGGCGCCAGCTTGGGAAAGACTGCCCCTCGATGGGGAAATTCCCACCCAAGTGAATTGCTCTTCCTTAGTTCTGCGGCAATCGAGTGACCCTGACTGCACCTCAAGAGTGCAAAAGTCCAAGACGTTTGCCAAAATCTTGTGAACTTCATTTTTCAAACAAGCTGGAGTAATGCCCAGTTTAATAAATCAGCATTGGTGAAGAAAGGAGTTTAGGGACAATATTTTTTAAAAAACTCATTTTTCCTTGAAGAGACCAGTTCTCCTCCTCAGGACCGTCAAAGAAATATTTGTGCTGAATGACAAATAAAAAGGGATCGGGCCCTTTAAACGTAGCACAGAATGTCGTAAACTTTAGAACTAAAACTAACCTGCCTATAACTATTTCTTGAAAGGTATCAATCAGATTGGCCCTGGCAGCAATCAGGGTCAACAGGGATTTTAGACATGCTCAGGTAGGAACACGGATAGGGAATGGAATGGAAATAATGGAAACCAAGCTGGGGGGAGGAGGAGAAAAGCTAGAAATTCCACAGAAGAGGTTTCAACTTGCATCCTAAATTTCAATTATTCTGCCTACTCAGAAAGAACAGCATGGCTTTTGAGTGATTTTAAAAAAGAATTTCCTTATATATTACTGCCTCCTCTCATTAGGAACTCTGCATTAGAAGCTGTCCTCTGAGGGTCCCGATTCTTGCTTATCAATTCGGCTTACAGAAGAGAGGTTTCGGCAGAACGCGGACCTCCCAAATGGTGAACATCAACTTTGAGCCAACGAGAACAGCCCTCTTCCCAACACACCTTTGGCTGCACACTCAGCAAGGCGTCAGGACCCTCAGCAACATGCTACACCCCTCACACTCAAGAGCCAGCCCTCTTTCTGCAGAACAAGTATCGGGACATGGAAGCCCTTCCACAAATCACCCCTGTCTTTGGAAACATGCGCTAGAATTGTCAGATCAAAGATGAACAACAAGCCCAGCTGATCCCATGGAATGTTTCCAGACACACAAGTATCTGTTGAAACACTCCAGTCTCCTTACATTGTCCCGTTAAGGCAGCCTAAAAATCCCTTCCTATTTAGAACCACAATGGGATGACTTTTAAGAATCCATCCAAAAGCGATTTAAGTAGAATTCTTATCTATTTCAATAAGCTGGGCATTTTTCAATTAGGTGCTAAAAACCATAACCCAAGAAGCATCCTTCCCAACATCTCTTGCCTTGTAATCAACACATTTTTTTTATGGTCTCTGCTTTTCATTCTTTGGGAAAATGCAGCAGAGCAGTCGGGTTGTTGTTGTTTTGATCCAGTTACGCAGAACGGGGGTGGGGTCGAAAAAGAACTTTCTAATTTGGAGGCACAGTGATAATGAAAGCTGGAAATGTGAGCTATTTTGCTGTCGTTCGGCTCAAAGATGTTGCTGCTCAGTCCTTACTTTTCTAAATCCAGGTACTAAAAACACGAAAAATGTTGAGTGCTGGTAGATACAAGTGATCATTTTGGAAAATTCATCTGGATGTTTCTGGATACAAAAAGATATTTTTTTCGGGGGGTGGGGGGTGGGACTTGCAGTTGAACCCAGCAGATCTTCTTCTCAAGTGGACAATTTAGCTCTCTCAAAATCACTAATGTAGCTCATCACTTCTTTTGAGTCGGATTCTGTAATGAGTGCAGGATCCTAAGACTCGAGTCCATGTTCCATGAAGTCTCAAGCAAGGAGGAAGATTATTGGGAAACAAAGTTTACCCCCACCTGAACTGTACACAATTCTTTCCTGGTATTAGACACCCCCTCCATGTGCATTTCTCATAGCAACGTAAACATGAAGCTGTCCAATGTGCACTTTTTAAAAAAATGACCAGCCTGTACTTTTCCTACTCTTTATTTTACTATGTGAAGTCTTTTGAGATTCCTTGGTTATCCATAGGCTTCCATGTATGGATTGACCTGGTGTGTGGCGTCACGTGTCTCTACATAGCAGGGGCCGGATTCCCTCTGGCAAAGTTCTGGAAGCACAACGCATGAATGGAAGATACAGACAAGAAGCCGAAAGTTGCAGGGAGTCTGCTTGCCAATACTGTTCTGTCCCCAGGAAGCACCTGTGTCCATCTTAAGTGTCCCTCTGGAATATTGTAGGCCTCCTGTAGAATGCTCAAGTGGTCCCTTCTACACACAGCAGTAAGAATCCCAGCAGACCCCCGTCTCCATCAGACAACTGTGAAAACAGGCATCAAAATAGTTTAAGGATAAAGGCTTCACTCTGACTAGGCTGTAGCAAAGCTACGGTATAATACAACTGCATCTTGCATGCAATTAGCTTGCACGATTGAACCTCACACAGATGAAATTGGGCAAATTAATAGCATGCAAGGCAGACAGCTTAAAAGCTCTTTCGTGTTAGGTTTTCCTGGTGTGGAAAGAGCTTTTAAGCTCTCCACCCTGCTTAATGGGTTCTGGGATGCTCACACAAGATAACGCAGGAACTTGGACAGCCTTTGCGGGAGCGTCCCAAAACCAGCATGCTGAGTGGGACTTGTCTGATAAGCTTTTAAGCTGTCTGCCTTGCTTGGGGGAGTGGCAAGGCTCACTTGACACACCAGCTCCAGAAGGTAAGGATGGTCATACGGGGCGGTTCCGGGTGTGTGCGTCCAGCATACAGTGGAACCTCGGTTCCCGAATGCCTCCATTGTCGTACGTTTCGGTTCTCAAAAGCCGAAAGCCCGGAAGTAAATGCTTCTGTTTTCGAACATTTTTTGGAACCCAAACGTGCGACATGGCTTCCGCTGAGTGCAAGAAGCTCTTGCAACCAATGGGAAGCCACACCTCGGTTTTCGAGCATTTCGGAAGCCAAATGGGCTTCCGGAATGGATCTTGTTCAAGAAGCGAGGTACCACTGTACTTGTTTTTGCATATACGCATCATACCCAGAACATAACCCCCATGTAAGGTGTGATTGTGCTGTACAATACAATGAGCTATGCAACACTGCATGGAATTAAATGTTGCCTTATAGGACATGTGCTCATGCAACAAGTGTCACTGTCCTCCGTGCACCTCCAACCTCCCAATTCCGAGGGCGTGAAGAGAAGGGGAGGGTGGTGATCCTGATATGCAACTGGAGGTCTGTTCCGCTCGCATACACAGCAATGGATACGACCCTAAGTCACAAACTGTGGGGATGAGCACTAAGATTGTAACAGGCAAACCCATAGAGGATGGACCACCAACGATGGCAAAACGGTACCCTGTACTCAGAGGTAGTCTACTTCAGAATACCAATGTGGGGTTGGTGGGGGGAAGAAGACAGGGGAAGGCCACCAATTTCTGCCTAGGAGCTTTCAGGTGTACGTGACTTCCCAGTGCTTTGGCCCCATTGCACAAGACAGTGCCAGTATCCTTAAAAGGCAAGACTTCCAGGCTAAACTCAGCAGGGCTAGATGGGCACATGGTGAATTTGATGCAAACTCTGCACACCTTCCTGGAGTAGCAAAGCAGCTCATAGATTATTATATAGCTTGTAAGAAGAAGCAGCGAAGCTCCTTTCAATGGGGGAAGGGGTGTAAGCTTGTTTGCATGGAGCTCCAAATGAGGACACTCAGGACTGTAAGTCTAAATCAGGAGAAATATAAATCCTCCCATCTGACCAAGTTGGAGACCGGGCTGTAAAATCTATTTTGAATGAGCAGAATTCGGCCCATGCCTCAGAGGAATCTAATTTAAACAGTTGAGAATTCCTGCTGTCTTCTAGTTCTAAGACTGAGAAAGAGGCAGCGTCCTCTCACAGAGGACAGCAGAGTCAAAGGATGGCTCCGTTTTGCTTGGTACGCAGCTGATGAAGGACAAGGCTGTCAGTGGCTGCAAGCCATCCCCAGGATCAGAAGCAGTCTCCCTCGGGATACGATCCAGTGGGGGAAAGGGGAGAGTGCAATTGCACTGCATTTGCCACTGCAAATCTCGCTTCTAGGTTCTGCTGGTGGGTCTCCCAGGGGCCTCTAGCTGGCCACTGTGGAAAACAGGATGCTGGATTAGATCGACCTTTGGCCTGATCCAGCTGCCAACCACTACCTGGCAGCCCTGCTGATCTCAAGGCCTGCATTTCAGTATACTGGAAATACTTATTTACGGTGTCATTTTGCTTGTTTACCTTCTGTTAGAATTGGTTGTTTATCGGTCCCATTTAGGTGATTTTGTCATTTTTGTGGATTGTTTTTTGTCTGTCTATTTTTACTACTCTGGGACTGAAACATTCTGTGAAGAGCAGGTTGTAAATACTGCAAATAAATAATAAATTCTCACGTTTTGAACTCTCCAAGCTCTCAGTCAGAGGCTGGAGATTGAAACTGGGAACTTTTAACATGCTCTGCCACTGAGCTGGAAACTCGCTGCAGGTCGTGGCTGTATGAACTATTGCAGGAGGCCACCCTGACCCTCAGGGGGACATGGGTGGCGCTGTGGGTTAAACCACAGAGCCTAGGACTTGCCGATCAGAAGGTCGGCGGTTCAAATCCCCGTGACGGGGTGAGCTCCCGTTGCTCGGTCCCTGCTCCTGCCAACCTAGCAGTTCGAAAGCACGTCAAAGTGCAAGTAGATAAATAGGTACCGCTCCAGTGGGAAGGTAAACGGCGTTTCCGTGCACTGCTCTGGTTCGCCAGAAGCGGCTTAGTCATGCTGGCCACATGACCCGGAAGCTGTACGCCAACTCCCTCGGCCTATAAAGCGAGATGAGCGCTGCAACCCCAGAGTTGGTCACGACTGGACCTAATGGTCAGGGGTCCCTTTACCTTTACCCTGACCCTCAGCCCATGGAAGTAGCTAGTTTTCACCTTACTACCCTTCAGGTTAAATACACTCCTCCAAGCTGCTTCTGTAGCCCCTTTATTTACCTGTCTCTGAATGGCAGCAAGACGTTCCTCCTTTCAGGAGCCCGTTGGGCTTCTCATGTCTGCAGACAACAGTTCTGCACCACTCGCAGTGTTTCCGTATCCTACAGCAGCTGCAAAACATAAGCGTAAGAGGCTTAAGGCAGGGGAAGGCTAGGAATGACATCAGAATGCAGAGGGTCAGTGGTGGCGCAGTGGTTATTGTGTTGGATTAAGAGCTGGGGGACCAAGATCCGAATCCCCACCCAGTCTTGAAGTTCACTGGGTGACCTTGGGCCAGCCATTGTTTCTCAGCCCAACCTGCTTCACAGGGTTGTTGTGAGGATAAAATGAGGAAGGGGAGAACCATGTACACCATCTCCAGCTATTTGGAGGGAAAGGTGGGATATAAGTGAGATAAATAAATGCGAAAGGGTGGGACATCAGAATGTCGTCCGTCCCTACAGTAGAGAGGGCGGCTGGCCCAGGTGGGCCCCTTTGTGACCACCTTCAGAATGGGCTGGCAAGGATGGGCCCTTCAGTTTGTGAACCTGGGAACCCAGGTTCACACACCTGGTACGTAGCTCCAAGCTAGCCCTTGCACTCTGAAAGCTGATCAGCCTCAAGTCTTACATTTGCCAAGTTTATCACAATCCAGCACTGCTGTAATCCCGTTTTATAAGCATCTCAGGCCCAGTGATTAGGCACTATAAAGTTTGTTGTTGGATTCCAGGTTTCCTGCTAAAATTCAGAACTCCCGAATTAGAGTGGAAAACTTAACAGCTGGAAAAATAAATCAAAACGGGGTGTATTGTCTATTAAAATAAAAGAAAGACTGTTCGGTTTGATTCGAATCACTTTAAGGTGCTTCACTAATTTAAGATGAAATCTTTTGCCACCAGCCTTATAAGAGACCAATAGCCTAGGGAGCCAAAGCACAAAGACAAGAACAATCAGGTAGAACAATCCAGGGGGTAGTAGCTCAAAAAAAACGGGTTTCTGTCTCTCCCTCTCTCTTCCTAAGAAGAACTCAAGCCCTTACATCCCAGCACAACCACTGGAAGCACAGAATCTGGGAGTTGGAAAAGACCAAAAGGGTCATCCAGTCTGCAATGCAGTAAATCGTCCAGAAGAATCCTTCTACTGGTCCCGTGTGTCTCAGGAGTCTGACCAGCCTCAACTAGAAGCCAGTCATTCACTGTTGCTGGTCCCAGGCTGTGGAATACTTTTCCAGCAGAGATTCAGCAGTCATCCTCCCTGTTCACCTTCAGACAGGCCCATTCAGCTGCTTAAATTCTGTTTTAGATAAGCCAGTCGTCTCTATGGTTGCCTTGTATTTATTTATGGCATTTGATGTTTCACTGTATTTGTATATATTGTTATGCACCAGCTTGATGTTTTCTGCAAGTAGGCGGTATAGAAATACTTTTAGAAATAAACAAAAGGTGAGTCAGGCTCTCTGGTGGCTAGACTTTGGAACTCCCTGCCTAATGATATCAGGCAGACACCTTCACTGCACTCTTTTTGGAACCTGCTAGGAACATTTCTGTTCAGACAAGCCTGAGATGCTTACAAAGTTCATGTGAATTTTAATCTGTCTTTAAGCTACTGTTGTTTTAACTTTTCAAAAGTCTTAAGTTATTGCTGTTCATTTTTCTTAGAGATAATTTTATTGGCTTTCCTTTTTTTGTAAACTGATTTTTTGTTTGTTTCTTTTACAAATCAAGCAGTTTATAAATATTAGGAAATTTTTTAAAAAATTCAGACTAGACTACTGCAATGCACTTTACACGGGGCTGCCTTTAAGAACAAATGAAGAACGGTCTGAAATTTTCAGCTAGTACAAAATGCAGCTGCCCTCGTGACCCAATTTGTGAGCAAGGATGTTATTAAAACATTAGAGTATTTACTACCAACACACTCCTGCATAAATACTTCTCAGCACCAAGAGAAGCGGCAGGACCTGGAGAAACCCGCTGTTGTCAGTGACTGTCCTAACTGGTTTGTTCGTTTTGGTCTCGCTGCTGGCAGAGAATGTTCCCCGAGCAAAGGTGAGAGGAGGGCTGGGGACTCGCTTGAGAAAAGGGATTGGGCAAGGCATCTCGCAAGGCGAGCCACGCAGATTGGGAAACCAACCACAACGACACTGCTGCCCGTCCTCTAAATTACACAGCAAAGACTTTAATTTTAGCTTAATGGGTGGCGTTCCAGTTGCAACACGCATGCCACCATCTCCCGTCCTCAGAACAAAAACACACCGGAACACATGACCTCATTGCAAGAAAGAGCCATTCTAGGACATCCAGGCTGCGGATGGAGAAATTGCCAGGCGGAAAGGGTGGGGGCAGAGGCAGCGCAGGGCGGGTTTGTTTTGTTTTGTTTTTTTGCAGCAGGCAACAGCTGAAAACAAAACGCATGTCCAGTTCTCTCCAAAGTGTCTTTCTAAATTAAGGGAATCCTTAATTTAATTGCATTTTTGCAAAACGGAATTAATTGCTGAAGTGCTTCTGCAAATCTACACGAGGAATTGGGAAGATGAGCAGGAGGGGTGTGTGTGTGTGTGTGTGTGTGTAGGAAGAGACATAGTTTCATGCTCTTCTCATCCACAAAGTTAACAAAGTGGTTCAGTTTACAACTAAAAATAAATTACGCAATATATTATAATGAAGAGACACTTTCAGAAAAAGTTCCCAGTACTTCCAAAGCAGCTGTTCCGGACACTGGGCAAAAGTAAGACTTAATTCCACCAGCCTTCTGTCTATATCTTAAGACAGGGTTTGTGGCAAAAAGAGATGATGCAGGTCACAGAACCGTAGAGGTGCAAGAGACCCAAACAGTCATCTAGTCCAACCCTCTGCAATGCAGTGAAACATGGAGGATTATAAGGGTAACTTGCACTGAGTGCTCTTTACAGATTTGCAGGTCTACTTTGTTAAAGGAAACTGTTCAACGTTCTGCATGAACCAATACTGGTCAATGGCAGCTCCTCTGTTTTGAAGCTAGAGGCCGAATTAGGCTGACAGAAGGTCTTCCCTTTCCATGCAATCAATTGCCTTCAGCATCAAGAGGCCAAGTCCATATTAAATTTCATCCAGGTGTTAAACTTCCCCCTCACTGCTCTTCTTCCATGAGGTTCAGGATGGCATTCCCAAGGTGGTTTCCCATCCAAGCACTGACCAGACTTTGGGCTGCTCAGGTTCAGGGAGGTGGCTGCACCACATGGACCACTCTGAGATGCGACAAGCTAAGTGGCCGGCCGTAGCTCAGTGGCAGAGCATCTGCCTTGCATTCAGTGGGTCCCAAGTTCAATCCTCATCAGCATATCAGGGCTATGATTGTCTCCTGCCTGAAATCCTGGAGAGCAGCTGCCAGTCAGTGTAGACAACATTAAGCTAGGTGGACCAGGGCAGGACTCAGCACAAGGCAACTTTCTATGCTTCTAAGATCATGCACACTCTTTTAAACGAATTTCTACCCTACTTTTCAGGGGTGGGGAAGGCTTCCCGAGAGAGACCTGTACCTCGCTACAACCAACAGGCCTACTAAAAAGGCAGGGCACAAAAGGAAAACTGGTTGGGAGGGAGGAGGAAATAAGCAAACTCAGCTGCACATTCTTCGTTGTAAGTTCTTCTAATGATCAGCTAGGGTAGTCCAAGGAGAGGTGTACAGAGTTGATGACCCAGCATCCCTTCTCTTGTCTCCTCTGCTGCAGACTGATGTCGCGGTTACTGCCTGGTGACAGCTGTTGGAGGGAGGAGTCTGCTGCCTAGTATACAATGCAGTCTATGGAAGCAGCCTTAGCCACATGTCAGGGTGAGGTCTGCCTCCAGCCTTCCAAACTGGGAAGGAGGCTGGACTTGAAAAAGGAGATCCTTCTCTCCATGAACTGTTGCTGCCCACCTGAGCCTATTCAGTAGGCTGGCCACCTTTTAAGACATGCATTTTACATAAAACACACACCTTGGTGGATGCACACACTTCACGCTTGCAGAGATGTCAAAGCAGAACATCAGTTCAAATGGAAGTTTCACTTACTGTATTAGGACGCAGACCATGATAAGGGCAACGGAGGCTATAACGGAAACCACCACCAGGGCAGTGATGGTTTGCTTTGTCTGGTTGGCGGCCACCACTGCAAGGAGGTCCGCGTGTTCGCATCGCGCCCCAACGTACCCGGAATGGCAGCTGTGACGAGGCAAAAGAAAATCAAGAGCAGTGAGTGCACATATATATATATATATATATATATGCAGAATTTGAGCTGGATGCTGTTTTCTCACATTCAGAAATAAAATGGGATTTTATCTAAATCAGAGGGCTGGAACATGCCTAGAGGCAGGGTGGGAAGCAGCTACGGATGGCCTGGTTTGCGTTTCCCATTTAGAGTGAAGCGCAAAGTCCTGCTCTCTCTGCCTCACTCCAGAGTTTGCAGTGCTCTTTTGAGGCATGTGTTCCCCACGGGAAAGATTGCACAGTGTTCCCAATCAGGGCACTAGCCAGGCATGATCCAAATAAACCAATGAATTCTACGTATTTATACTTCTGCTATGTAATGTGAAATTTTAGCTGCTTAGGAACCGTTTCGGCATATAAGTGGCATATGGTAAAGGTACCCCTGCCCGTACGGGCCAGTCTTGACAGACTCTAGGGTTGTGCGCCCATCTCACTCAAGAGGCCGGGGGACAGCGCTGTCCGGAGACACTTCCAGGTCACGTGGCCAGCGTGACATCGCTGCTCTGGCGAGCCAGAGCCGCACACGGAAACGCCGTTTACCTTCCCGCTAGTAAGCGGTCCCTATTTATCTACTTGCACCCGGGGGTGCTTTCGAACTGCTAGGTTGGCAGGCGCTGGGACCAAACAACGGGAGCGCACCCCGCCGCGGGGATTCGAACCGCCGACCTTTCGATCGGCAAGCCCTAGGCGCTGAGGCTTTTACCCACAGCGCCACCCGCGTCCCAAGTGGCATATACGTTAATTTTAAAACATTAATAAAATTATTGGTATTTTACTCTTCTCTTCCCCATCTGAACACAGCATGTGCTCTGGATCACGTTGACATGTTTATTCTCTTCGCGCCAACTCTCAACAGTCCAACAAGGCAAATCTTGCAGATGAAGGGAGCTTTTCCATAAGTCCCACAAGGGCCCAAGAACCATCCCCTAAGGCAGTCTTCTTCTACTGGACTCCAGTTCCCATCATCCTCAGCCAACTTAGCCGATTGTCAGGGATGATGTGAGCTGCAGTCCAACAACATCTGGTGACCCAAGAGTCTAATGCAGGCATAGGCAAACTCGGCCCTCCAGAGGTTTTGGGACTACAACTCCCATGATCCCTAGCTAACAGGACCAGTGGTCAAGGATGGTGGGAATTGTAGTCCCAAAACATCTGGAAAGCCGAGTTTGCCTATGCCTAGTCTAATGCATGGAGGCAGGGACACTTTCTTTCGTGACATGCCGACTGCACGGTTACTGCTAAATGCAACAAGATGGGTATTACAAGATGCAAGAGTGAGACTTACACGCAAGCTGGTTTTTCCTCTTGCACCAAAAACCTGCAAGTACCATGGAAGCAAAACTCACTATGAGCATCTGGACAGCTGTTAAAATGAGATCTCACAGCAGCAGCCACTGGCGGACCTAAGAAAGGATGGACGAGAGAGAGAAGACTGGTTAATCTTTGGTACCACTGCCAATACAACTCACACTACATACAAAGAAACATACTTCAATCAGCCTCTTTGTTTGTTTTGCAGATGCTAGAGTGAGAGAGCAAGAGAGAGAGAATGTAATTTGTGAGGTTTCCATTATTCCAATTTTACCATAAAGATGAACTAATTTGTCAATATTGGTATCTCTCAAATTTAGTTTACCCCATTTCCCCCATCAGTTTGTATTGTTTTAAAAAAGATTTTCATGAGAATTCATCAGCAATGCTGTGCACCTTTATATACATTTCTACATGAAGGTGTACATGATATGAACATTTCGGCAAGCAATTTTGCTTAATATTGGGCTTTTCGTAAAAATAAAAATAAATTCACAAACATATGCATTTTTAGGCATGCTTGCCCTTAGTACAAGCATTTATCTACACATTCCTTGGTTAGAGAGGTGCACTGTAAAATATGAAGTGGAGCAAAATCGGAAGGATAACTTCATTTCAGTTTGTGAATTGTTTCAGAAAGAAATTATTAGGTAGCCAAGCATTAAAATATAACCTACACCAAATTTCCTCCCCCCCCCCCCGGGCCATCCTAAGGACACGAAAAGAGCCTGCTGGATCAGGCCAATGGCCCATTTAGCCAAGCATCCTGTTCTCACGGTGGCCAACTAGATGCCCCAATGGGAAACTGGCAAGGAGGACACAAGCGCCAGAGCAACACTCTCCCCTCCTGGGGTTTCCAGCAAGCGGAATTCAGAAGCACTGCTGCCTCCAACTGCAGAGGCAGAGCGGAGCCACCCTGGCCAGTAGCCATCAATAGCCCTCTCCTCCACAGGTTTTTCTAATCCTCTTTTAAAGCCATCTGCTGGTGGCCATCACTGCCTCCTGCAGGCACTTCCATAGGATGGCGAACATGTTTGGGGTGCCCAGAAGAGGCTGCACAGAGAAACAGAGGCCATGCTCAGTCTGTGTATGTTTTCACCCACGGGTTGTCCCTCACCTACCACCGAGGCTCGACTAGAACGCTATAGCTAGAGTGCATGAACCAAGCCCAGGTTTGGCATTACTGTAAGGCAAGCAGAAGGGACAAAGGATGCGGGTGGCGCTGTGGGTTAAACCACAGAGCCTAGGACTTGCCGATCAGAAGGTGGGCGATTCGAATCCCCGTGACGGGGTGAGTTCCCGTTGCTCAGTCCCTGCTCCTGCCCACCTAGCAGTTCAAAAGCACGTCAAGTGCAAGTAGATAAATAGGTACCGCTCCGGCGGGAAGGTAAGCGGCGTTTCCGTGCGCTGCTCTGGTTTGCCAGAAGCGGCTTAGTCCTGCTGGCCACATGACCCGGAGGCTGTACGCCGGCTCCCTCAGCCAGTAAAGCGAGATGAGCGCCGCAACCCCAGAGTCGGCCACGACTGGACCTAATGGTCAAGGGTCCCTTTACCTTTTACATAAATAATCATTTAAACAGTTCCATTGTTTCTGGATTATATTTTTTTTGTTTTTGTCTTATCAAATCAAGTGTAAGAGATTGGTTGTGTTTAGAATAGATTTATGAAAGATTTAGAAAACTTATTGATTAGAATATTTGTATGAGATTGTATGGGAAAAATATGGAATAACAGATACGATTTTGCTTAAAATGTATATAGGAAGTGCAGTGTAAGCGAAGGAAGTCAATCAATGAAATTTTATTATTGAAATATTTGTAGAATAAATTTGGAAGAAATTCTTCCAATTTGTCTTCTTCTTCTCTTTCCCCCCCCTTTTCTTCCTTTTTCCTTTTTTGTTCTTTTTAGATATATGCATGCTTATCTGAAATATATATGTATGTATGTATGTATTTGCAGTATTTTGCTTGTGTTTTGTAATAATTATATTAAATAATTTTTTAAAAAAAAATTAAAAAGAAGGAGGAACAAAGGCAGCAGTAACAGCTGTTAATATAAGGATACTTGTCACACATACTTTTGTGGGGTAGTGGGCTGAGAATGTGTGCCGCTAAGAACACATCAATTTACAGGAAGAAGGTAACTAACCATGACATCATTCAACCTTTTTAGAAGCCATTACGTCTTACAACTTAAATAGTCGTAATAATAAATGAAGATATATTTATGCATTTATGCAAGACATTCCTGGGCTGCCTTTCTTGACACCGTCCTCTCAAAGAGGCTCACGGAATATCACATGCCATAAAGCAATCTTCCTAAATTTGGCACCCTCCAGATGTTTTGGGTGACAGCTTGATGGGAGTTGTAGTCCAAAACATCTGAAGGGCATCGTGCCGGGGGCAGCTGCTACAAAAGGCCACCTTCCATACTAAGTACCACAACCACCAGATTGGCAAATTCCAGAACAACAACAACAACAACAACAACTTTATTATTTATACCCCACCCATCTGGCTGGGTTTCCCCAGCCATTTTGGAGGTTTGCAGAATACTGGGTAACCCTCATGAGCAATGCACGCCAATGTATTATTTGCCATTACTTGCAAAAAACACCTGGAAAAAATCTTAGTGCAAGAATTGTAACATGCCTAACTGGATGTTAGCAGTAACCAAGGCTACAATTTTTGCAACACTTTTGTAAACTACAGTGGTACCTCTGGTTGTGAACGGGATCCGTTTTGGAGGCCCATTCGCAACATGAAAAGAACGCAACCCGCAGGCGCAGCGGTGCACGCACAAGTTGCGATTCACCGCTTCTGCGCATGATGTCATTTTGCGCTTCTGAGCATGTGTGAGTGGTGAAACCCGGAAGTAACCCTTTCCGGTACTTCTGGGTCGCCACGGGACGTTACCTGAAAGAACGTAACATGAAGCAGATGTAACATGAGGTAAGACTGTACTCAGAGACTATTGTAATTGAGTCACATATCAACTGTAGGAGAGACAATGTGGTAGAGTGGATTGAGTGTCGAGCTCTAGGATCTTGGAGACCAGGGTTCAAATCTCCACACTTGCCATGAAGCTCAGCGGGTGACCAGTCACTGCCTTGACTAACCTACTTCACAGGTTGCTGTTGTTGTGGGGATTGAATTAAAAGAGGAAGTATCCCACCTTGAGCTCCATGTACATTTGTTACATTTTCTCCACCTTGAGCTCCTTGGAGAAAATGTAACAAATAAGAAATAATGATTTAAATAAAATGAGTTTCATGAGAATTAACTACAGTGGTGCCTCGCAAGACGAAAAGAATCAGTTCTGCGATTCTCTTTGTCTAGCGGTTTTTTCGTCTTGCGAAGCAACCCCATTAGCGGCTTAGCAGATTAGCGCTATTAGCGGTTTAGCGGCTATTAAAGGCTTAGCGGCTGAGCTGCTAAAAGGCTATTAGCGTCTTAGCAGCTTAGAAAAAGGGGGGGAAGCGGGGGGAAAAATGGCAAGACTCACAAGACATTTTCGTCTTGCGAAGCAAGCCCATAGGGAAATTCGTCTTGCGAAGCAACTCAAAAAGGGAAAACCCTATCGTCTAGCGGGTTTTCCGTCTTGCGGGGCACCACTATACCTTTAAAAACAGGACATACCGGTCAAAAGCCTCTAAAAGGTTATTGAGATAAAAAGTATCCCTCGTTTGTGATAAACTAGAGAGTCTAACAGATCCTTTGAAAGCCACAGTTTGACTGGTCATGTAAGTATTTTCTGAGAGTGCTTTAAGCTGCACATTGTTAGCACTGGTTAAAGATGCTGGCCGACATCTGAAAAATCTCACCAGGGGAAGACAGAGGCTGCAAGATACTTTTCTGGAGCAAGCAACTTCCTTCAGACTAGTCTGCCTGCGCTGTTGTGTGGGTGGCTTTACTTTGCTCAAGTAAACCATATGTTGCAGCAGGCAGACAAAAGCTGATGCCACAATAAATCTGCTAGTCTCGGTTGTTAGTGGAGTGCGAAGTGGTACCCTGGCTCCATTTCCCAAAGGCTTCCAGGCCCCCTCCCACAATGGCAATGACACGGTGAAATCGACGCAGCCGGGCTGCAGTCTGCACACAGCCTTACAACACGATCCTGCGTGTGTTTACTCACCAGATCCAATGTGCCCCCCGCCACCCAGACATCCACGCTTCCCCTCAACTCATAGCAGAAGAGGTAAACAGAACAAGAAGGCAGGCCTTGTGTGAGAAGGTTTGAAGAACACAGCGATCTTTCAGATTTCGTACGCAGCAGTACGCAGAACTTAAGAGGTGTGCGTGTCTAGTACGGTTTGGAAGGCTTAATTTCATTACATTAAGCTACATATGTCTGAGCAGAAACGGGATCAGCAGTCTGTCCCTCAGGACTGGACTGCCTCCTGTCGTCACTTGGCCCAAATGCTGCCACATAAGACCTGCCCCACATTTGTTAAGAGCTCAAAATTTTAGTGTGGCAGCACCTACGTTCTGGAATTCCCTGCCTCTTGACATCAAGCAGGAGCCTTCGCTGTGCAAACATTTTTGTTTAGACAATCCTGTCCAGATGTTTAGAAAGTTGGTGCACGTTTTAATCCGTTTTTAGTCTATTGTTATTTTAACTTTTGGAAAAACCTACATTGTTATCAATTCTTCTTATTGATCATTTTATCTTTTTTTGTAAACTGCTCTGAAGGTTGGTTGGCTTTTTTTTTACAATTAAGCAATGTATAAATTATGTGAAATAAAGTAAGAAATAAACGCGTCCGACTTCAACATCTCTCCTGTCTCACCTCCATGAAGGCTTGGCCCTAACCCCCTAAGCCCACACTTCCAAATGGATAGAAATTTACTTATAAAAATAATTTATATATCACTGTATCATTAAAAAATGTCAAAAGCCATTTACATATGTTTGTGTGATAAATAATGAAAAGCTTAAAATGAGAGATCATCAACTAACCAATCTGGAAAGATGTTCTCTTAATTGCCTGCACAATTTCCTAGCGGCACTGAAAAAGTTTTCAGCAGGTGTTTAAATCTTTTGCAGTTATATTTGCCCACTCATAGCTTCCTATCCATGCTTCTCTAACCAC